GTGCAGTTTCTATTCCTGCAAAGCTTGTCGTAATTAATCAAAATTGTTCTTCTTCATTCATTTTCAAGAAGTTTTTTGTTCATATGGCAGTGAAGATCTTACTGATTACTAGAATTTTCACTTGAAGAACTCTTTATTTTTTATCTAGAAATAAGTCAAGTGAATATAATGGACATTTTCTGTCTCAGATTGTTTCTTTGAATGTTCTAGCATATTTGCAGTGTATATGTACTGCATACCTTGGTCTGTCTGGGATTTTTGATCAATCTTTGCTCCGTTTCTGTTCTAGTGCAGTGCCTACAGATAGTTATAGGAAAGTTTCACGCCCTTTATGTCTTTGTCTGCTTTTCATGTGTTTAAATGGATGATTACCTGAACATTTGTCAAGATTGAGTTATATAATTCACTGAAAAAAGGGAGTTTGCTATTAGTCTAGCAATAAGTTAATTTATCATGCATCAAAACCATTAGAGTGTGATTAGTGTAATATTCAACTCACCGTGCACTGTGCAGCTGTCATCAACTGTACTAACCGTAAAACAGATTCCTGTGCTATATAACTGTATGTAAATGGTTTAAAATAGGAAACCTAGTGTTTCCTGTATAATGTACTAAGTAATGCATTATTTATTGGTAGTAATTCCTTTCTATAGGCCAATAAAAAAATGTTTTATTGTTACTCATTGAATGTCATAGACTGTAATTGAAACATCACTTGTATAATTTTCTGACCAAATTTTATGCAATAATTCTGAAAATTGTTGAATCTGAATATCAAGATGAAAATCTGATTTATGAACTGTGTAATGTGAAAATAAGTGTTTGCATGATCTTTAATTTATTTTGTCAATTTTGATAAATATAAGCATGCATATATGATAAATTTTGCACCTTTTTATGTATTTTTCTGTAATTTATTTACTTCTTGTGGACCAAATGGACGCAACTTCTTATTGATTACAGATCTTGATCAAATTTTTTTTAAAGCGAGGGAGTCATCACCTGTGCATACGTCGGATGGCCATAGCGTGTCATTGTTTACACCAAGTGTCTACCCATGAGCCTTTGCATTTTTAGCGTGTGTTGTTATCGTCGCTTGGGACTCAATTCTCGCGCGTACACAGGTGACAACCCCCCTGGTTTAAATATATGGTCAAACATTCAATAAAATATATTTATTTTGCAAAAGGTAACATTTGTATGTTAAATTTATTGACAACTTTGATCAAATATCTCTAAACATTTTCGTCAAATTTTTAAACTCACTATCACTTTTTCTGTACATTAATTGTCTTATTAATATTAAGGTACAAAGATAAAAGTAATTTTATTTCTCATAAAATTTATTGAGATTTCACGAAATACCCTATTGGTCCTCAGAACATTTCTTCAAAACTTCCAACAGTATCAAAATATCTTTTAAAATATCCATTTTTGGTAAAAAATAAATGAATTGTTGATTCCAATGTTAGTGGATATTAAATGATTTTAAATAAAAATGTGAATAATGCTTATCATCCTGTTTTCATGAATGTAAAAGATGCTATATATAGTACTTTAAGTGTGTTTTCATTCGACTGTAAAGATCACATAATTGGTTCAATTTCACGCTTATTGCACGTTGATTTCTCATCACATATGTGCTAAAATTTATGAATTGCATTGTCATTGATTCATTTTGACACTTTGGATGGAAATTTTTAAACTGTCAGAATCAGTAGAGCCATGATACAATTAATGATGGAATTCAGTGGTAGACTTAGAAGTGAGGGTGGAATGCATCGAGTGTGACCCCCCCTCACCCTCCCAGGAAGACTTTATTACTCAGTGACACATTTTCTATTAAACAATGCAATAATTGTGTCATTGCTAAATATGGTGCTCTCTCAAAAACAAAAACAAAACTGAATTCTCAAAGAAACCATCCTCTACTTCTTTGAAATAACCAACATGTTTCATGAAGGTGTGAATTTGCGTGATGAACTTTTATAAATATAAAACATATTGTGCTACATTTCAATCCAAAGGTGATGTTTTCATTGGCTATAAAAACACTTTGTAATGCCTATTTTTCGTGTTTTTTTTCAATCATTGACCGATTTACTGCCATGAACGCAAAAGATATATTCCATCAAATGTTTGAAATTTAACAGTGATTCATTTGCTGAAATAAATTTAAAAGAATGCAAGTACAAAAAGTGCTATTATCATTTGGCATAGAATGTTAAATTGTGAAAACTAGTCAGTGTCAAAGAAGAGGTTAACAGTGAAGTAATAATCCACTAAGACTTGTGATTGCTCGAGTTGTTTTCAATCATTATTTTAAATTTATACACATTTATAAATATCTTAAATAAATTCACACCTTTTCATGAAACCCGGTGTATTCATAATACATAAATGTTGAGTAAAAATTTTGGAGAATATTTACTCATTCTGTGCAACGTGGAAAATGTGTTCAAATCATTTAAAGCGCGGTGGTCATCACACAGCGCGTGTTCGAATTTTATGTCAATAAGCGTTGTATTTTACACACGTTGTATACGCGAGTCTCATATCGAACAGGACGCGGCGCAACGACTGCCGCCCTTTACATATACAATACTCAGTAGAATTTTTCTGCACTGAAAGAATCCATAGTTATGCCAACCTATATTTTGTAGGGTATACCATTATAGTAAGAGAAATGTACCTTGACAATAAACCCATTATAAGCTCGTAATTGAAATTTGATTGTTGGCATTGCCACTAAATTTTTCCCATTTATTTTTCACTTAGATTCACACCAGTGCATTTCTACTATTTGGGCAATTTGTTTTGACCCAGCAAATGTTTGTCAATAATATGACCTGTATGTTCATCATCAAGTCTCTTCATTCCTTTGTACATATGATATTTCAAGTTCATTACCAAACAAACATTCAAGTTAGCTCCTGCTGATAAATTTCTGACTGAAGATTATGAATTCTGTAACAGTTCTGAACTCAATGTTGTGAGAAAATAAATTAAGAGTCTTTAACTGGAAAAAGTAAGGGCAGGCATTTAAGATAGTTGGCTGCCATTGTGATGAATCATTGTATTTTTAGTTGTTTGCAAATCTCAAATAAATGTGTGTTTACCAAACTACTTTTTTGCACAAAATATGGATGAAAATGGTTGCTATGGTAAAAAGGTATCGTCATATCCCGGGATCTTAGTTCAGTTACCTATAATGTATAAGATTACTTATGGGGGATTATTAGAAAATGATTCATATTCATTTTGATATGAAATAATGATTTAAAGCGCCCTGAAATGGAATTTGTGAAAAAAATCAATTTGAATATGAATAATAAATCATATTTGAGTGAAATTGAAAATATTCTGAGTTGTAACCACATCTGAGTTGACTCTTTTCATCCTTCTGACTCAAATTAAAACTGCACCACCAAATGACAGACAAAGAGAGGAAGCAATGCAAGTGCTATGTACTGAATACCATAATTTGTAGTTGTTAAAAATTATCACTCTACAAGTGATTGAATTACAAGGATACTAATGAGAATCATTTTAATACTGCCCCCCCCTAAGATGCATTTAATCTGGGTGTCTAGGTTGGACACAGGTGTTTCACAGGCACTTCAATATCGAATTTAATGGAAATAGATAAATGTAGCATTTTTTAGATGAATTAATTATTATCCATTAATTTTAACAAAATTGAGAAATAATTTGCTTCTGTTTAATTATTTGAATGTCCACAAACTACCTCGACCTCATATTTTCTCATTTTACAAATCTATCAAAATGGAGGATAAGTTGTTTTATGCACTAAAAATTGGTTCATAGATGATTGCCGTAATATTCAAACTAATCGTTTGAATTATGAACAAAGTCTTCAATTATGAAAAATTGCCAAAAAATCATTCCTGAAAACTCTGGTGTCAATATGGCATAACAGACCTCAGTGATGATGTAATGTTTTGTTTGATTTTTATACTTCACTGACTGTCTATGGATTAGTCGATTAAATTATTGTCAAAAGCTCAAAACCCCGAGTGAAACTGTTTTGTCAAACAATTTTGATCAGAGGTTTATTTATCTAACTACCTCTTTTTGTGGGAAATATGATAATAAAAAAAGTTGAATGTAATAATAACTGAAATGAAATGTAGTTTCATCTTGATCTGTATTATATTTATTCATACTAACATAATATAAGCATTACAGCAAATGTGGTGAGAACAGACATCCAATGATTTCTCACTTCAAAAAACTTAGAAAACTGAATACTGTACAGTATGTCTTATATTATATCGCCCTCTATAGTCAGATATGGGAATGATGCAAAGATTAGGTACTCACTTTTCATTTGGTCTTATGATTGAACTTCATTGTTTTTACCTTCTCCCTTCTCATGCCCGGAAATACATCAGTCCATAGAATCCTCCAAATTTATATTGTTTTTTTTAAAACAGAAAACAGATTTTATTGTTTGTGAATAAAAAAATGAATTAAAAAAAAACATAATAATTGAAGCAAATAATATTTACCATACATTTTAAGTTCAATGATTTGTCCAAAAAGCAATATATTTTATCTGTGTTTTAATTTACTCATTTAACTATAAGCAAAAATAATGTCCTGTATAGTTACATATGTACTTATCCATTTCTGCCATGCTCATATCATATAGATATCTATTTAGAAATGAAATTTTGTTTGAACTCAAATTAATCAACTTTGTTCTTATATATTCATCCAAAAATCAGTAGCATAGTACCTTTAGTAGCATAAAAATGTTCATCCAGTATTTCACAGATTAAAATAAAAATAACAATAAAAATACAGCTTATGTCATTATCATGTGTTTATTTTTGCTTGGTTTAAATTTTTGCTGATTCAGTGAAAATAAAATCCAGGAATATACCCTACAGTGAAAATAAAATTCCATACAAAACACCCAAAAAGTCTTTCCAGCAAAAATTAATTCCAGCTAAAATAAAGTATTTTACAGTATTCTAGATAATGTTAAATCCGTCTTTCAATTTGTCTTCGTTTTCCACCATGTAGTTTGCCATTCCTGTATAATATCCGTTACCTGACAACTCGACTATCACAGCATCATACTTTCCATATTTGGTCTCCCTGACGACCGTACTCATAAACTTGCTACCAGTTACACCACTCATGAATGTCCTCACTTGGCCTACACTGATTTGACCTTTATAGTATTGCAAGGCGGTATGTGCGATAGTGCCGCTCCCGCATGGAGCACGGCAAATCTAAGAAATGATACAAGGAAATTGTTACTAATAAAATTCTAATCATATTAAAACAGTAACTCTATTTCATTTTCTCTTTTTGTTTTGTAATTTACTTTATATGGACTCTGTCTGAAATAAATAGTAATAATAATAATAAAAGGTATTTCTGAATTACACACAGAGTATCTGTAAATATGAATGAGTCACCATAGAAACCAATAGACTTTTAGTATCATATTGTGAAACCTAAAACTAATTTATTATATTTTTATGTTAATAAGTAAAATGTCATGCTGATAATAGTTGTAGGTGAGTTTTATAATTTTCAACAACTTTCAGAAGTGGAAATACAATATTACTGTTCTTTTATCAACTTTATCAGTCCTTGTTTGTTTGTTAAATAATATACTCACTTGTGACTTTCCATAAGCACATGTATGTACAGTTGGCTCGTTACAGAATTCGTCATTCCCGTCAGTAAAAATAACGCCACTAATCTTTAGAACCTCTTCATCGTTACTCTCTGGATGTTCAAGACTCACTTGTTTTGTAAGCAAATCTCTTATCTCTTTATAGACCTTTATCATATCATTGTGGTTTGATTTTTGCAAATCCAATCTGAAGGAATGTGCAGGCACAAATGCAAAGTAACAACCGCCATATGCAATGTCAACTTTGACCTTGCCATGTCCTGCAATGTCAACCTCTACATCTGCAATAAACCAAAAAACTGATTTCAATTTGAAAGATACTGTAGAATTATTATATTTTGTGAGTATTTATTTCGTAATTTGCAAATAGCATAATTTTGGGAGTTTAAAATTTCAGCCTAAACATGAACAAAACCTTTTAAGAATGAGGTCAATGCAGCTCTGACCAGGTATCTGCAGGTCTCAACTTAATGTAAACCTACTTACAATCTGATTGGCTACTCATTCCTAACACCTAACAGTCAACCAATCAGAGAACAGCTTGTTTGTACCATATATATGCTTTGACTCAACTGTAGGTCTTAACTACAGTTCAAACCTTGGCAAGTTTCTTTAGTGCAAGAACTTTCACATTACAGAAAACATTTAATTGAATGTGAAATCTAAGTGGATTTCTTCGCATCCTTTTATTCCTGGTCGAGTGTAGTCTGAAACAATTAAGTATTTAAATATTGGCCGTTCTTTTGTCTGTCTGTCCTATTGTCTGTCTTTTTGTCTTTCCGAGAGATGAAACTTTTAGTCTTGATTTGTTATTTGTTTGATCATTGTGTTGCATTCTATGCATATGCATATGTCAAAGTTAAATATGATAATGCAAAATTTATTCTCATAGATCTCAATTTACTGTTGACACGATTTCACTATGATTGGTGTTTCTTGTCATTACAGGTTATTACTTTTATTATTTTGAGATATCTCCAAACACCAAATAAGTTATAATGCTCGCTTATGCCAGAAATTATGACATTACAAAATATACGATACCTGTAGCGAAGACAAATGCTGGCACACTTTGGAATCTGGTGGCACCAGTTTTGCCATTTTTATATTCTACATGCGTCTTCACTAATCCACAGGGCGCCTGAATATTGATCAACGTCTCCGGTTCTGTGGGACTAACAAGTTGAAAATCAATGGCAAAGTGTGACTTAGCATAGTGTAACTTTTGTAGGATGGTATCTCCTTTAATTTCTGGGAAGCCATCAAAGACGATTCTCATAGGATCACCTCCACTGTGCATCTCAACCACACTTATTATGCTAGGAGACTGAGAATACTTCTTCAATATCGTCTCAGCTTTCTCATTCTTGGCTGATGATGACATTCTATTTATTCACACTGTAAATAAAATAAAACTTATACATATTTTTTCAAAATAAAAATTTGTGTACAGTTATAATCCTCACCATCAACAGTGGAATTAATCTGTTTCTGTATTTTCATTATCTTTGCAACAGTTTTCCAAAATGTAGTTGTTGATGAATATCTGGTTTCAGTTTATGCATATTAATTAGCCAAGTTGCATAATAATTACTTTTCATCCTGTTTATTCCATGTTGTAGTTTGAACAGATTGAAACTTTATACAAACTTGTATACTCTGATATCTGAGACTTGTTTGAAATTATTAATGAGCTAATTTGCATATTACTGTAACAACAGTTTTGTGAAATGGATTGAATCATTGACAGTGTAGTAGGAAGAACGCACAACTATGGTAAACATTAAAGTCAAATGCTGGATGCCTTGCTTTTTTTTTCAAATGGACTTTCACTCTATCTGTTTTCTCTTCGCAGTTAGCCTGTGTGTGTGTATGTATGTGTGTGTACGTCTGTTTCTCTGATATCTCAATAAGTTTATGATGGTTTTTAATGAAACTTGATGCATAGATGCTCTGTGTTAATGCGCAGATTTGATAAGTTTTTTTGTTGAAATCCTTGCATATTAATTACCTAATTTGTATGATAATTAACTAATTTTTAGCTGTTTCATGACTGTTCCACTGATATCTAAACATTCATAGGATTTTGATGAAACTTGGTAAATAAATGCTCTGAACTAATGCACAGATTTGATTAGTTTTGGGTAAAATACATATTAATTACCATACATATTAATTACCTAATTTGCATAATGATGAGTCAATTTTCAACTTTTCCAATGATATCTTGTGTACTAATCATCACATTTCAATGAAACTTTGTATATAGATGTCATAGAACAATGCAGAGAACTGATAGATGAAATATTAATTACCTAGTTTGCATAATCAATCAATTTTCAGATTTTGATATTTCAAGTACTTATCATTACTTTTCAATGAAACTTGGTACATAGATGCTATAGAACTATGCTTAGACTTGATTACTTTTGATTAGTTTTGGGTTAAAATCAGTGCATATTAATTACCTAATTTGCGTAATTAACCAATTTTAAGCTTTCACACTGATACCACTGATATTTCAAGTACTAATTATTTTATTTCAATGAAACTTGATAGATAGATGCTCATGAACAATGCACAGACCTTCTCAGTTTTGGGTTAGAATCAGATCATATTAATTTTCTAATTTTCATAATAATTCATAATTTTTTGGTTCTAATCACATATCAATGACACTTGGTACATAGATGGTCTGTGATAGTACTTATCTTAATTCAATGAATCTTGGTAAATATATATTCCAACTCAATGTGACAATCTAATTAGTTTTGGGTTTATCTACATCTACTGTATAATAATTACCTAATTTGCATAATAATTTACTTTTTATCTTCTCACTACCGGTAATTTAGTTAGGATTAATCATCATATTATAATGAAACTTTGTGCTTAATATTGAAAAACAGGCATATTGATTATCTATTATTAGCTCATTTCTGATACATGTATCTGAAAAAATCAGATTTTATTTGAATTCATCACAAAGGTGTTCTGGAATTAATTAGACTAAAAAATCACGAATGAAAAATCTAATGTATTTTCTGTATGTATTATAACTTTTGATAATGTGAATCACATTGTTTGCATGTTGTGCATCTTGAATAGCAGACAAATATTGGTTGCCAAGCTTCTTGTTTGAAAAGCAAATCTTAAATTTTGAATTCATTTTTAATGCGTCTCCAATACTCTCAGCACAAGGTAGGAGCCAGGCTTTCATTGATTTAAATGGTTGTGATATAACAAGAACATTGTGGGAATAAATAGTTAATATCTCATCATCAAGGAAATAATCAACTTTGTTTTGAGGTAGATGCTCTACAAATACAGCGGATGTATTTCAACCTTTATCGCACACAATGATTTTTGGAAAACTAATTTCGCAGACATTTGTTTGTTTGTTTGTTTTTTTCTCTGGAACTAGATTAGATATACAGTGAAGCACTAAACATACATCAGACTGGTCTTTGATACTAGAATAACTTGTCGTACTTGAGTGTGAAATAGCCTTCAGTTCTCACATTGTTGTTCAGTTAGTGTTTAAATACATCCCAGGGGTCTGACTTGTGGAAATACCTGGAACCCATGTCTGTGAAAAGGGTTTTCAAAATGACCCTAAACACGTTTTAAAAGGTCAAAATTTCGTTTCCTTTTCACTGTTAGAAAGCTAAAAGATCACGCACCTTGGACTCGCGATATTTGAGCTTTCTAACCCTTCAGTGTAAGCACGGGTTGGTCATATACCGTGATCGCCCGTGATCGAGGGTCGTTAATCAAGGGGCTGGACGTTTTCCTCTTTTTTGTGCTCATTGAATTCCTTAAAGCAATAAAAAAAAACGATAATCTCATTTAAAAAATAACCATCCTTATCACGTTTGTCTATTTTGACTGAAATGGTAACCCTAAACGCGTGTTCACAGACATGCATACCAGATCATTCTTTAAGTCGGACCTCTGAGAAAGACATACAACAAAGACATAAGTAACAAGATCATTTTCACCTTGTATGCCCAACCCTAAATTTTGCTAGCTGCAATTGCAACGTTACGCCATAATCTGAAATGTAGTACATGTCGGTTGATCAATATGTACCGGTATACTACATGGTCCAGTTTGTAGAAATTCAGCTGTATATTATTATTCAACTCACCTTTATGTGTCTTGACGAGCTGGTTTGATTTCCCAAAACTATTAAGCACAGGCACTAGTATAGTTTGTGTGTTGTGACTATCTGCTTGTTGCTTGCTCCACTTATTTTGTTATTTATGACGCTAAGAGATTTTCTAAAGAATTGTTAAGTTACTCAACAAAGGCGGATGAACAAAGGGGTACCTGTAGGGAGTACCTATCCACCATCACAACTATAGAGACTACCAGTAATAGTAAACAAACTCGTAAGCTAAACTATTATGGTGATATCAGTATGACCCAAATTTATGATAGTAAACTAAAGTCCTGTATAAAACACAATGAAGATGCGAAGTCTATAGGTACTGTATTTTCTCTATTAGTAGAGCAGATGCTTAAGTAAATTACAGAGCACAAAAACATATTTTAACTGAACCCTGACTTGATGTTGTTAATTAGTGAAAGCTACACTACCTATCCAGAAATATAGTTACTGTAAAATGTTATAATGAAATGATAATGGCCAAAACCTATATAATTATAAAAAAGCATTTGGCCTAAATCTAGCTCTTGTTTTAACATTTGCAGTCATAAAATATATAATTGAAAATTATGCCATAAAAGGATGATGTAAATTTCCATTGATATTTCAGTTTAACATAGAAGCCAATCCACATTAACACCTACATGTAATTTGTTTGATGATCAAGATTAATAGTGAACTTACTGAGAAAAAACATTTGTAGCCGTTAATACACAGCTCCTTAGCATGGGCTAGGACGTCAAATACTTTTCTCTGAACACAGTATAATTTGTTTACCCCCCCCCCCCGTAAATAACTTTACAAACACTACACCAGGCAAGAGTCTCATAACTTAAATACTGTAAAATACTTTATTCTGAATATCTGATGAGTAAAATTTTTAAAACCACAGAAAGTAATTAATTTTATATTTTTTTTATTTTAATGACATTTTTTCCCATTATTTTTTCTTTTAATTTTATCTCTTTTTGAATTTTTTTATTTGTATATCTTTGTACATATTTATGTTCTTTACCATACAAAAATCCTCTGAAGGGGTGAAAGTTATTATTATTATTATTTAAAAAAAATATTATTTATTTTCACTTGGAATTTATTTTTGTTGTTTTCTTTGAAGAGATGATTCAGTGAAAATAAAATCTAGTGAATATACTATTTTCCTATATTTTACATTCAGCTCATCAAAAATCAGTGAAAATAAATTCCATACAAACACCAAAATTAATTCCAGCTAAAATAAAGTATTTTTCAGTATGGTAAAACTATATAATGTAAACAAGGTATGCTCAGATAAAAATGTTTCACTTTGTTCATAACTCCAGTATTTCTGAAACATACACAAACATTATTTTCACTATGACGTTTTCACATCACGTCTTCATCTACATGTGGTCATAGAACTACTTTGTCACATTTTCTTCTACATGTGGTCATAGAACTACTTTGTCACATTTTCTTCTACATGTCGTCACAGTACTATTTAATTGTCACATTTTCTTCTACATGTGGTCATAGAACTACTTTGTCACATTTTTGTCTACATGTCGTCATAGAACTACTTTGTCACATTTTCTTTTACATGTCGTCACAGAACTACTTTGTCATATTTTCTTCTACATGTGGTCACAGAACTACTTTGTCACATTTTTGTCTACATGTCATCGTAGAACTACTTTGTCACGTTTTCTTCTTCATGTTGCCATAGAACTACTTTTTGTACAATATAAAGGTCAAAACTCATATTTATTTGGTACTGACAATAAATTATTATATTTTTCAGATATATCATCCATAGTGATGTAAATTGAAGTGATGAAGTCCAAGTTATTATTATTTTGATTTTGTATTTACACCTTAACTCTACTAGTCAACATGACTGAGAGATGCTTGGCAGCTTTGGATTATGTGGATTTACAGTGCAAACAGGTCCATAGAAAACACTATAAGGTAAGGTCAAGGGTCAAGTTATCTATGCAAACAGGTCCATAGAAAACACTATAAGGTAAGGTCAAGGGTCAAGATATCAATGCAAACAGGTCCATAGAAAACACTATAAGGTAAGGTCAAGGATCAAGTTATCTATGCAAACAGGTCCATAGAAAACACTATAAGGTAAGGTCAAGGGTCAAGATATCAATGCAAACAGGTCCATAGAAAACACTATAAGGTAAGGTCAAGGGTCAAGATATCTATGCAAACAGGTCCATATAAAACACTATAAGGTAAGGTCAAGGTTCAAGTTATCTATGCAAACAGTTCCATAGAAAACACTATAAGGTAAGGTCAAGGGTCAAGATATCAATGCAAACAGGTCCATAGAAAACACTATAAGGTAAGGTCAATAATCAAGTTATCTATGCAAACAGGTCCATAGAAAACACTATAAGGTAAGGTCAAGGGTCAAGATATCAATGCAAACAGGTCCATAGAAAACACTATAAGGTAAGGTCAAGGGTCAAGATATCAATGCAAACAGGTCCATAGAAAACACTATAAGGTAAGGTCAAGAATCAAGTTATCTATGCAAACAGGTCCATAGAAAACACTATAAGGTAAGGTCAAGGGTCAAGATATCAATGCAAACAGGTCCATAGAAAACACTATAAGTAAGTCAAGGGTGGGTCAAGTTATCTATGCAAACAGGTCCATAGAAAACACTATAAAGTAAGTCAAGGGTCAAGATATCAATGCAAACAGGTCCATAAAAACACTATAAAGTAAGTCAAGGGTCAAGTTATCTATGCAAACAGTCCATAAAAACACTATAAGTAAGGTCAAGGTTCAAGTTATCTATGCA